ACATTTAATTTTACACTTAGCACTCCGTAAAGATGAATTTAAATATATCAGTCATGTAAAAACAGCTCAAGGATTTATAACAGTTGTGACAAAAAAGTTGATCTAATTAAGTTTTCTGATTTAAATAATATAATTGTATTTTTTTTAATTTATGGGTGAAATTAGAGAGAAACTCATTTGTAACTTCCAGGACAAACAGAATATTTTTCCTCCTTTCATCATTAAAACCAAAACAAATCAAAGTGACTCCTGTTAATGGATCGACCAGCTGTTTAATCCAGCAGAGCTGAAGTTAGCAGCAGTGAGAGGAACAGAAAAAAAAGAGAATATTTCTGTTGTGGATTCTTCTGACTCATGATCGATACTCCAGAAAAAGCTGGGAGTGTTTCCAAATGAGAAAACTTTCCTTCTTCCTTTCCTTCGGCTCCTGTTTTCTTATGGATTCGTGTTGAAAAATGAATTCAAACAGGTTGTTGCTGATATCAGCGCTAAAACTTGACATGTTTTCTGTGCTGCAGAGCTGGGATTACAAAGAGGAGGTGAAGCTAGCAGCCTCTCATGTTATAGATTTATTGATACTCTGAGCCTCTCGTGCATCTCGGAGCAGCACCGTGTGTTTTTCCTGTTCGAAGGAGGTGAAAAGTGTTGTTTACGAGGGTCTGACCTCGACGCTGTGTTCGGCCTTTTCCTCCCGGTCCAGAGCGGAGAGCGTGCTGATAACACCTGGAAACACACGAGCAGCACCGTTAATGTTATTCCCAAGAAGYGAGAGTCCTAATTAGACGTAAACAAACAAACATGAGTGGGAGCGGTGTGGGTCTCACCCCGGGGGCAGAAACACACCTGCAAAAACACGCTTGTTGGTGGAAGTTGGGCTGTAAAGTTTCTCATTATTCTGGGTCGAGTTTGAGTTTATTCTTATAACAATGTGAGCTGAAACCAGGAGTCCAGACCGATCCGGGTCACTTTTAGTTATCATATTTAGATATTTTAAAACCTTCTGAGCTGTTAAATCTGAAATTTCAGCATCATTAATGAAACGCTGCAGATGTTTGTCTGAAACAGCTGCTGTACACACAGAACTGAATCACTTTGTGCAGTAAAAGCTACATTTATAAGTGAATAAGACACAAATATAAACTTGTTTTTCTTTTGGTCCTTCTTATTACCACCCCCACATGCAAAGCTGGGGTCATGTTGTTTATTTTTAAATTATTTTTTAAAAATTCAGTGATTTTTCAGGTCATGTTTGTAAATGAGAAGTGGTTCTCAAACAGTTTATGATAAATAAATGTTAAATAAAAAATAAAAACTCAATGTGTAACACATTATGTACAGTTCTTTTTTCTTTTTGTCTTCTTTTGGCTTATTTTATTTTTTATGTTTTGCTGACAACTGTGACCTTAGTCTCTATCTTTC